AAATAAATTCACGGTACGAAAATTTTGGGTAATCCAAAAACCACGTTTTATTGAATAGACAGTACTTCTTTAGATATCTCAAAAATACGCTCTATTTCTCTGAAAAACTTCATTTTTTGCTACCATTTCTTCACTGAAATAGCTTTAATTTAAAACTGAATCTGTCCTTTTTAATCATTTTTTATATATTTTTTTCTACAATATTTTATTGAAATTAAACTAAAAGCTGAAATTTTTATGTTATCATTCATCTCTAACTTTCACGAAAAACTAGAAAAGAAAGGCTCAATAAAAGCCCCATAAAAATATACGAAAATGTACGAAAAACATATTTTCCAAATCAAGAATCTATCCAAAGACGTCAAACCCAAAATCCGAAAATCCGAGATTTGCTCCTCGAAGTTTTGCCATATTTTGAGCCGATCAGAATGGCTCATTGGCACCGACCTCTCAGTGGAGCGCGTTTGTGTTTAAAGTTTGCGGGAGAGGAAGGGGCGGCACCGTCTGCGTCTCTACGTTTTGAGCGCTTTATCATCATGGGTAGTAGTTTAGGGGCTGTTTAAGGGTTGTTTGAGGGCAATACTCGAGATTTCGAACATTTTGAAAATGTAAAAAAGAAATTGAATAATGGAACAATAATCATCTAGATATTTCGCAGTTTTGGAATCTGAAAAAGTCTGAAATTAGGTCAAAGTAAAAAATTGTAAAACATTTATTGTTGACCTTTTTAAATTGGTCCAAAAAACCACTATTCAGATGATATATGTCTGAACGTCACAAAACAGATTCTAAAAATGTCGAAGAATAACTAGGGTTTCTTCAAAACTGAATTTCCTAAATCTTGTCTGAAAGTACAACCTTTCAAAAATCCTGTTCAGAATGTTCAATTTTCGGGACTTCAAGAAATCGGATGGACGCAAAAAGACAAAATTTTTTTGAACTGGTAGATCAAGCGGAAGGAGGTCGAGAATTATTTCCAAAAAAACGAATGGGGCGGAGCCTAATTTCTACTAGGATTTACCATTTTATCGGACGAATTCAGCAATTTTATTAAACAAAAATTCACAAGAGATCCAGGTTAAACCATTTATTCGATATTAAATTTCTTCAAGGAACACATACTTCATTTTTATTTTTTAGAACCACATTTCACTTTTAGAAATACTTTATTATGTGGAACTTTGTATTTTTGTTCAGATTTTATTTCAGTTTCAGTCACTTTTTTGTTCAGCTTGGATTTCATATAAATTGTACCATGATATCAGAGATGGACGGACAGCGCACGGACAACGGACAGCAATTATTTTCGACGGACAGCGGGCAGTTAAAAAGAGGGACTCCGGTCCACGGACCACGAATAAAATTTTCCGAAAACAAACGAGTATTTCCAAATGAAAAATTTGCCGAATTCGAATTAGCGATGAAAAATAGTGATGCGAGCTTATCATCATTCTAACTGCCTTCTCAGACGGGAATTATAATTTTCCTGGTAAACGGACAACGGCCAACCCACAACTCCCGGTCGAGGAACAACGGACTACCCGTGCCACTCTGATATCAACCTTCAACCGATGAAAACAACCCTAATCTAGAAATTCGACAACAACGATAAGCACTATCCCAACAACGAAGAACGAAAGACACGACAGACAACGAGAACCGAAACGCGCGAAAAAACAAAAATGTAAAAATAACACAGAAAGTCGAGTTCAAAATAGTTCTGATATCCAGGCGGAGTCCTGATGTCCTGACGTGTCTTTTTGGAATCTTTGAAGTCATCACCGACTGAAATTTGAGGCTTTTTGAAAATTCCTTTTTCATTTTGAGTTACCTTGGCAAATTGTATCTTGAAGATCCAAATTGGTCTTGGTATTGACGCAACCATAGACGGGCTTCCTAAATTTAATACATACATTGTCAAAATTAAAAAAAATTTCGGAATTTTCACTTTTCGTTTCTATTTTCAACTAATGACTTTTTCATTTTTCCATTTTTTGAAAGTCAATAAAAATGTTTTGCAAAAATTTGAGGCTAAATCCTAGGCTTCACTTTTTCAATATAAGATGTTCTCACTTCTCACACCATATTCCTGACATGTGATATCTCGAAATCCTGCCAATCCTTGCGCTTGAAGTCCTGGTTCTTCCTCGAACCTTCTGGATCCCAGATGCCAACGATATCCTGAAACTTGACTCTTATTTTTAAGATGAATCCCTATCTCCTCACCTCTCATTCCATATTCCTGACATTTGAATTAAAATCCTCCCGACCCTTGTATCCGGCATCCTTGACATCCTGGTTCCACGCCACCGAGCTCCTGAAACTGGACCCGTATGTTTTGGATTCGTTTTAGAGCTAAAGTTGTTTCTGGCTGAAAACAATTTCCTAGGCTTTCCCGCTACTGGAATGTCTCTTTTTTCTAAAGTCTGTCTAAAGTCTAAACTCGATTTATAGTCTTCTAATAGTAAAGATTTTTTTCTAACGATTTCAAAAGTCGACCTATCCCCATTTCCTCACCTCTCACATCATATTCCTAGCACGTGAATCCCCAAAATCCAGCCATTCTTTGCTCTTGAAGTCTTTGTTTCTCGCCCTTCTGGATTCTAGACGCCAACGATCTCCTGAAACTTAACTCTCATTCTCAAGACCAATCCCCATCTCCTTACCTTTCATTCCATATTCCTCAGATTTGAATGTGGAGATCCTCCCGAACATTGTATCCGTCCTTGAAATCTTGGTCCTGGTTCCTCGAACTGTTTCCTATAAGAATATAGCTCATTTCTAAAGTCGACCAATCCCCATCTTCTCACCTCTCCCATTATACTCCCTACATGCGAATTATCGAAATCCAACCATTCCTTGCTTTTGAAGTCATCGTTCCTCGAACCTTCTGAATCCCAGACGCCAACGGTCTCCTGAAACTTGACCCTTGTTTTTTAGATCGATAACAAATTTCTTACCTTAGATTCCGTATTCCTAACATTTGATTAGGATCTTCCCGATGCTTGAAACTATCCTTGCAATCCTGGTTCCTCGAAACTGCTGCAAATCTGAATAACCTGCAAAATCCTGCAACTTGAACGTTGTAAGACTGAGTACTGATTCTTTCCCTCTCTTTCAAGACCCTAGATTCCGGCCTTTTTTTAATACGGACTTCACGGAGGTCACCGAAAATTATCAAGGGATAAAATAGGAATTTAGTGAAATTATAATTTCCCGTGAGCCCTTTGACATACATTTAATGTCACCTGGGGTTTCTCACCAAGCCACACAGCAGGTTCAAACTTTTTCCTGATACCTGATATAAGATAACAATTATATACATAGATTAATCGATATCATGAGTTTTGGTAAGATATAATAGGTAATTAGGGTAATTAGAAAAATTTCCAGAAAAGTATGCACTGTTCTTATCGACGATTTTTGTCTCCACTGCTCATGCGAATTCGGGTGTTTCAAGGTTCAATGTTCAGTATTCGGAAAATTTGGATCGGTGAGAATTTTAGAAATTTTCGGACTTTAGAAATTTGTATATTCTTAGATTTCTAGAAATCAAGGAATCTAGAAATTTGAGGAACTCAAAATCCTTAAAGTCGTTAAGTTAGGTAATATTAAAATTTGAGAATCTTCAAAAATCTCAGATTCTAAAACTCCTCTGAATCTTGCAGAGCCTTCTACAATGACGTCATCGTCTGTGTCGCCTGTTTCCACATCCTCCCAGTCCTCTCTACTATCCTAATTGCCCTAATGATTCATAATCATATAAGAAGGAAAATGGAGGATGAGCTGCAAAATGCGAATAAAGAATTGAAAGAGCTGAAATCCAAAATCCCCAAACCAAGTTATAAATGGACCACAAGCCGAAATCTTGCAACAAACATTGAATTTGACAAGAAAGAAAATAATGATAGTTTGAGTAACTGCATCACTTTGGGAGCTGATAATCGGCATGAGACACCAAAAATTGTAGAGAAATCGCTGGAAATGGCAACAAAAACTACGGTAGGTTTGGATGTCCCGATGTCCATGGACTTTAATTTTCAGCCAAAGAATTCAACACCAACAGCAGGCGCTACAAAAATTACTCCAAGAAAAGTTCCGGGAATTTTGCCAATCGAATATAAATACAACAATAATGGTCCAATCATATTCCAAACTCAGAATACCAAAGATTTTCATGTGAGTTTTCTAATTTTGAAAATCATAGGGTGAGTGATGAATTTCAGTTAGTGCCTGATCGAAAAGCTTTCAAAGAAGTGAAAATCGAAAAAGTGAAATGGGATGAAGGACCAATCGAATTCTATGAAACTGGATTGGATGTGGATGATGTTGAGGTGAGATTGGGGGAATAGGCGCGAAATTCAAAAATATATGTTTTCAGTTAAATACTCCAAGTTCGAAGGGTGTACCCAGTTCCACTATTCTAACGGCGTCAATCAGAGAATTTCATCCGAGTACTACGAAAACTATAACGCATTCTTCTATGATGTAATTGTTGATTGTTTGCAATAAAAAATTGTTTTGAATGATTGACCGGCTAGTACATTCGCACTGGGTGTCAAAGATATGAAAAAGTGGTCAACTGATAAATTGTTTATCATAATACATACTCTTACAATTAGCATTTCATCAGTTGATCATTCCTTGACATCTTTTATAGCAACCGAGATAATTTAGGGCAAACTAGACAGTGTGAGGGCCCTACTAATACAGGTTTCACGGTAGTTGGAAATCGCGAACAAATATTGAAAATAAATAGGTCAAATCCGCGTCCACTTCAAAATTATTAAACTTTTTCGCCTAAAAATTATCTGGGGGTGCGATTTCCAACCAGTAGCTTTGGGAACCAGTGCATTTGACCACTGAATACAGGTCAACATTTTTAGAAAGCAGGCTAATTAAAGGGGGAGACCGACCAAAAATTTTCATTGCATTAAAATGTTCGAAAAATTGTCTATTTTCCCAATATTATAGCAAAAAAATAGAAAAAAATCCGAAATCCCCGAACAATGGCGTTAAAAGCGAAAAAACTTCGAAAAAAAGTTGCTAGGAGGGACGAGGATTTAAATTCCCGCGCAGTGAGAAACCTAGGTCACGGCGCCTGACAGCAGTTTTTTCGAGTGGCTGACAGTGGTTTTTTAACGTTTTTAACCTGCCGGACATGAAAACCGAAAAAATCCGGAAAAATTTCCATGTACGAAAGGCGCTATGATGCCGTGGACAAGGTTTCTTACTGCGCGGAAATTCAAATCCTATGTTTTTATCAACGCCGTTTTTCGGGGATTTTGGATTTTTTTTTGAATTTTTTCGCATTAAAGGTGGGGGGACAGGAGATTTTTCGTAGTTTTTTTGTAGCTAGAGTATGCATTCTACCGTCACGGTGTACAACGCTTAATGTCACTCTGCGTACAGCCGGCGTCCTCGCCTTTATGTATGCAATCGGGCGCCGGCTGCCTTTTTGCCCGCGTGGCTCAGTCGGTAGTGGCGCCGCACTCTCAATCCGCGCCCATGCTAGCTTAACTCCTCGAGGGGCATATTCAGACGGAATTTCGAGAACATTATTTTTTTCTTGTCTCCCCACCTTTAATATTAGGAAAATACATATTTTCTGAAACATTTTAATGAAATAAAAATTTTTGGTCGGATCCCCCTTTAAGGGCTGGAATTATAGAGCATCCCATTTCCCTAAAAACCAAGTAAACTTTGACATATTTTTTTTGGCTTTAATTTTTTCAGAAGCGCCACATGGCTAACTGAAAAGGAATCGTTCCGCATTAACTAAAGCTTATTCAACAAAAGAGTTTGTATACATTGAATAGTCGCTATCATGAGTCTTGGTATGCTTTTAATTGACTAATCAGAAAATTAGCAAATCAAGAAACAATCGCTTTGAAAAGTGGAATACTCGAAAGTTGTAGGTCAAAATAGTATCAATCATAACTTTTGTCTTTTTGGAATTTTCGATTCTTGGAAATTTCGAAATTTCAGAATTTCCGTGTTTTTGAATTTTTAGAACATTCGGAATTTTTGGATTTTCGGAATCTCCGAGGTTTCAAATGTGCAGAATTTCGAAATTTTGGAATTTTGTGAATTTCCGAATTTTCAGATTTCGGAATTTTTGGAATTTTCGGAATTCTTGGAATTTTCGGAACTTCCGTATATTCGAATTTCCCAATTTTCGAATTTCCGAATATTGAAAATTTCCTAATTTTTGGAATTTCCGAATTTTCGCTTTTTTGGAATATTTGGAGTTTTCGGATATTTTGGAATTTTTGGAATTTCCTTTTCTTAGAATTTTTGAAATTTCTGAATTTCGGTTTTTTCGGAGTTCTTGGAATTTTCGAATTTTCGGAGTTTTCGAAATTTTCGAATTTTCGGAATCACGGAATTTTGGGTTTTTGGAATTTTCGGAATTCCCAAGTTTTCGAATTTTCGATATTTCAGAGCTTTGCGAAATTCAGAAAATTGAATTTTTCAAAATTTTCGGAATTTCCGATTTTTGGAGTTTTGGAATTTTTAGAATTTTTGGAATTTCCGATTTTTCAAATCAGCTACTTTTGTTTAAAAATGAAATCTCGTCTTTTTGTAAAACAAGTCCTCCCAGTCAATTTTTCAGAAAATTATGCACTATTCTTATCAATTCTGGTAATACTGATTTCAACTGGAATTGCTGCTCAATCGACTAACTCTACAGTATTCAGTGTTCGATATTCAAAAATTCTGAACAGGTATTCCAAAATCATTTTCTTGAAATTCCTTCGAAAATTTCCAGAAACTTCTACATTGAAATCATCATGGTGTTATTCTATTTACACTTCTTTCCTGTACTCTTAACCATTTTTTTTGCCGCTATAATCCATCATTATAAAATGGAACCGATGAAAAATGAGTTGAAGACAAAAAGAAAAGAAATCAAGGAAGCAATTGAGAAAATCAATGAAGCAGTAAATGGGAAACCTGTGATGAAGAATGGTATAAAGTAAGGATTTTTAAATTTTTAAAATTTTTAACCAGGCTTTAAAAGTTGGGAGACATCAAAAAAACATACTTGCAAAATCAGGTCCCGGGTTCTTCAAATTTGAAAAAAAATTAGAAATTTCAGAAATGTTTTCTAATTTTTTTGTGAAAAAATTATTTTTTATGGACAATTTTATCTTGAAAAGTTTTTGACTTGACAGAAAAATTGTCTATTTTTTCAGTTGACCCCAAAAAAAATTTTCGAAAAGACAGGAAAAATTTTTTCTGAAAACCCGAGCCGGGCCCTGAAAATTCTAAAAAAACCTCGGCCCGGCCCGTTGCAAGTATGGAAAAAATAACTTTCTCGAAATTCCGTTTAAATATGCCCCTCGAGGAGTTGAACGCAGAGTGACATTAAGCGCTGTACACCGTCACGGTAGAATGCATACCCTAGCTCCAAGAATCATCCGTAAAATCTCCTGTCCTTTAAAGAAAACCTTTAAAGAAAAGTATGTTTCAGGGATAGTCTAGAAGAGGAATTTGATTGTATCGAGGGTCCGATAGGAATGGATCTTGAGGCGACTACGGCTGAAAAGATTACGGTACGTTTTTATGAATTTTCTGGAGTCCTTGACAATGTTTGTATAAATACAATACTTTTCGTATAAATACATGTTGCCCAAAATTAGAATATCGAGAATCAGAAAATTCTAGCTTAAGATTATTTGAATATTCAATAAAAATGTTCATTTTCAGCCCAAGAATTCAACGCCAGCAGCAGCAGCTTCAAAAATGGCTCCAAGAAAAGTTCCAGAAATTTCTCCCGTCGATTACAAGTACAAGAATAATGGTCCGATAAAATTCCAAACTCAAAACACCAGATATTTTCATATAAGTCTTCAAAATTTTGAAAATCCTAAGCTTTGGATAAACGCTAAATTTCAGTTGGAACCTGATCAGAAAGCATGCAAAGAAGTGAACATTGAAAAAGTGAAATGGGATGAGGGACCAATCGAATTCTATGAAACTGGATTGGATGTGGATAAGACTGAGGTGAGATTGACCGCGAATTTCAAAACTTCCAAAAATCTATGTTTTCAGATCCATACTCCAAAAGTTCTCAGTTCATCTAAACTCACTGCTTCCGCCAAATAACTTCATCCGAGTACTACTGTAACACATTCTTCTATATTGATTTTCAATTCATAAATATTTGCTTCTTCTGTGTTTTGTTATCTTTATTGAATTTTTTTAGACTCGAAAAACTGCAAAATGGAAAAATATCTCAGTACATACCGTAAAACCTGTAATACAAGGGCCCACACACTGTCAAGTTTGAGCTAGCTTATCTCGGTTTCTGTGGAAAATAACAATATAGGGTCAACTGATAAAATGTTTGTGACATTTTGATATACAATTTATCAGTTAACAACTTTTTGATATCTGTTACAGGAAACGAGATCAATTGGCTCAAAGTTAAAAGTTAGGGGGCCCTTCTATTACAGGTTCTACGGTATACCGTAGGTTTGGCTGTCGCTGATCATAACCTTGCTTCTTTTTTTGTGACTTTCAAATTCCTTGTCTTACTTTTCGGTATTTTCTGTTTTGTTTCTAATAAATCAAAATTTTCAATCAACAGAAATCTACATTTTAACACAAGTTCAATACGTTCACAACCTCAAAAAAGGTGAAGAAAAAAGTGAGGGAAGAAAAGCGAGGGAATTCAAAAATTAACAAAAATTCAAATTTTTCCAGCGATCGCATTCTCGACGGCGGTCTTGATGGTCGAAATTGCTTCCGCTTGATCTTTTGCCTTGATAATTCCAGTTCCACTGACAATCGCGTTGGCTCCAGCTTTCGCCGATATTTCAATGTTTTCCGGAGTGACACCACCGTCGACTTGAACGGTCAGGGAAGGATGGGCGTTGCGGATGGCGCGGACCTGGAAAATTATAAATTTCTAGTCATACCGTAAAAACTGTATTAGACGAGCTGGCCCATCTATTGTTCCAAGCAACCTCCGGCGGGCATTCTATTACAGAGGGCCCTTCAATTAGAGGGGGTCTTTCTAATACAGGTTTTGCGGTACTTGTGATAGACTACCTTCTCCATCATGTTCTCCATAAACTTTTGTCCACCAAATCCCGGCTCGACGGTCATGATCAACGCGTTGTCGATGTGCTCAGCGTGTCTGAAAATGTCTGTCTGTGTGTCCAGATTTTCAAACAAACTCACTTCAAAATGTGCTCCACAGAAGTGCCTGGTTTCACCGATAGGCCCACTTTCATTCCACTTTTTCTGATTTTCTCGATCAATTCTCCAACTGCCACGTCACCGCCGTCCACAGCTTCATAGTGGAATGTGAATTGGCTGGCGCCTGAAAAACCGGAATTTTGAAAAAAAAAATTTCTGATTTTCAAGGTTTTTGAGATTTTCGAGTTTTGAATTTTCTATGTTATTTTCAAATTTAGCTTTTTTCAGAAGCAGCCTTTGTAGTTTTTATTTTTCTCACACCTGCTTTGGCCATTGGATCAACCCATTGTCCAGGATTCGAAACCATCAAATGAACATCAAAAAAGGCATCTGGTCCAAGAGATTTACGGAGAGATTCGACGACTGGATGACCGATTGTTAGATTCGGAACGAAGTGACCATCCATTACATCCAGATGGAGCCTGGAGAAAAAATTTCCAATTTTCATAAAATTGGGTTTTCGGCATCTCCAGTTTTACATGAGCAAAATTCTGTTTTTTTTTTTTAATTTCACATTTTACTAATTGTGAAAATCTCTGGAAATTTCCCTTATGCGAGTCTTTTTTCAACTAAAAACCTCTCGGAATTTTCTTCAAATGAGCTTGATTTCAAATTTTTTTTCAAAAAAAATCTGTCCATCCGTTTGTCCGGATGTGCACACTCACCAATCCGCTCCAGCTGCCAACAATTTCTTGCATTCCGATGCCAACGCCGCCAAGTCGGCGTTGAGAATCGATGGGCAAACGTAGGCACGGAGTGGCATCTGCAAATTTCTGGGGTTTCCAATTTCTGATTTTTCATTTAAAAATTCAACAAAAATCCAAAATATTTTAAGACACATGGAACTCAATTATCATATTTTGTGAGCCGAATTGAATTCTAAAAACTACAGTTATTCAGAAATTGAAAATTCAATGGAAATTTCGAGAAAATTTACCAATTTTTTAAAACTCCAAAAAAATCAATCATTATAATAATACACTAGCAATTCATGTGAGTACCCAATTGAGACACAAAAAAACCGAGAATATCCAGGGGGAACAAAAATATTTACACATTCGCTGAAATTATTTAAAAATTAGTAAAAACGAGAGAAATAGAGGCGCAGAGAAATAGGGGGAGAATCGAATATCACAATGAAAAAAAGGGACGACAACAGCCGGTGGTTGTTAGTGTACAAAAAATTGATTTCTTATCAAAAAAAATAGTTCTTATCATCATTATAATAAATTTGGATGAAAATTTGGACACTACAAACTACAAAAAAGACTTGTAAAATCCAATTTTCCGTAATTCATCAAAAAAAAGAGAAAAAAAATAGAGAATTCAATTAATTAATAATCCAAAAAATCGTAAAAATGAGACATGCGGAGATGACACCAGCCAGGATCATTGTGTTTTTTTGTTTCTTTGTCTTGATTTTCTGCATCAAATTGTTGATGGCAGGGTACTTTTCTGAAAAGAAAAAACGATTTTTTGGCTGAAAATTAAAAAGAATTTGAGTTTAAATGTCTTTTTTGAACCATTTCCTATCATAAAATGGTTAAAATCCCTATTATTCTGACCCACTTGTGATATAATGCAGCCGATTCGAGATGCCACGTAGATTGATTCCCTGCCTAGCCACATTCTCTTTAGTCGACATTGCCATTTCAATCTGCTCGTCTAATAAACGATCACAGGCATTGATATGGTCGTTTTCCTGGAATTTTTATTTATTTTGAAAATTACAAATTTTGAATTTTACCTTCAAATACATATCATATCCTCTGGCTCGATTGTTGACCGCCGGATTCCGAGATTCATTATTCGAGCTGCTCAGCAGGAGTTCTCTGAAAATGGTTCAAATTTCATGGATCTAGATTCGGTTAGAGCACACTTGCATACCTCTGCAAAACCTGATCCACATTATCCCTGGCCCGACGGTACTCACTACCGTAATCCCGAAGAATTTCACGATGGCGGCGGAGAGTGTGTTGGATTGCTGGATTCGATGCCCAGGAAGCGGAGGATTGAGCGCCGGCGACGTCGTTCATCTGGAAAAGGGGGCGGGGCTTAGAATTCGAGATCATTTTTAAAATGAAAAAAAAACAACGAAAATTCTAATTTTCTCCTACTCACATCATCATTGATATTCGTTAATTGCTCAATTAATCCCTCAATTTCAGTGGTGACCGTTCGAAAAGTCGTTTGTCGAGAGGACACAGTTTTCTCGTCGATATCGAATCCTCCTGAAAAATTCCAGAATGATTCTCAGCCAAATTTTCAGCTTAAAGACCACAAACCATGTGAGCTAGCCGTCAGTTTATTCAACGAAACCAACTTCACATCAATCGAGTTCTCGGTGCTTCGCGCCTTTTTGCGAAGCGCTTCCCACGTTTCTGACATGTTCTCTGGAAAATAGATAGCTGAAAATCTGTAATTTTTTGAAAACCAAAATATGCAAAAATCGATTTTATAAACGATTCGAAACTTTTCAAATTTTATCTATAAGCAGTAAAACTTTATTAGACCGAAAACGTTACAAATAACTAACAATGAGCTAAATTTTACAAAAGAGATCCAGACGAAAACAGGGATTACTGTAGAAGGATACTGTAGCTATTCCTCATCACTTATCGCTTCCATTTGCACTTCTCCTCGGTCCGAGCGCTTCCTGGTACGTGTTCTTTGCCTTTTTGCTGAAAATTTGGAGTTTTGAAATTTTTCATCAGGTGTTTCATATTCAGAAATTCTAAGAATACCGTACCTGGCGAATGGTTCATCGTAGATCGATTTCCATTGTGACTTTCTCGATGACTTCCGCCATCAGCCGATCGCTTCAATGAGCCGTAGTGATCTGAAAATGATAAAAAATTTACTAGGGAAATGTAAGCAAAATTTTGAGAATTGGGAATCGGGGAAATATTGAATGACCAAATAAGGAGCTTGGTCTAAAATGAACTGTACAAAAAAGGGAAACAGTTAGATTGACCGTATTTCCTCTAATAGAGGTCCATTCAAACCGCCAACTTTAAGCTCAATTATATAAGAGATTTCAAAAATGTGTCAACTGATAAATTATTTATCGTAATGTCACCAATATTTTATCAGTTGACTAATTTTTAAAATCTCTCATAGGAAACTAGACAATTGAGCTCAAAATCGACGGTTTGCGTGGGCGTCTATTAAAGGAAATACGGTAATTTTCGTAAAATAAGAATAAAAAATTGCAAGTGCGCTCCGTTGAACACAAGACTCTCAATGGAGCGCATTCACAATTTTTGAACAGATTTAGTAGATGCAAAATCGCTCAACTTCAGTGTCTTTCTTGAGGTGTAGATTCATGAGATCTAGAAAAGAGACAGACGTGGATTTTCGAGAAAAACAAGACCCTCTTAAAAAGAGCGCCAGTAAATCGACATGAGCCAAATGTAGATTTACGAGGATTGTCGTAAATCTACACAATGTACTGTAGGTCTTACTGTAGATCTCGTAGATTCACTCAACTGATTTACATAAGCTTCGTAAATCTACTTGATCTTTGTGTAGATTTACGGAGATCCGTCAAATCATCGTGGCTTATATGGGCTCAGATTTAAGTCTCGAGCCTTTGTAAACCCACTTCTATTATCCACTTCACAGACTGACTAAGGCAAAAATTTCATGTAAAATTGTTGTAGGTCAGTCTGTACCGTTTCAATAAAGACTCTTTTTCTCCAAAACAGACACTTTCAATTTAGCGATTGGCAACACTAGAAAATTTCCAAAAAGATGATACATAGAAAATTGAATGAAGGGAAAAGTCTTTTTTTCCGAAAAGAACAAAAAACGGCGGGGAAGAAGAAGAAGAAGAAGAAACTTGTCTTCGTCTCTCCCTCTCTTTTCATCTCTGTACCTTCTTCTCCCCTTGGCAACATCCCCATCATCTCGTCTCGTTTTTGTTGCTGCCGCTGTTGAAGTTGTCCTCCGAGGCGGCGTCCTCCGTTGTCCGGGATGCCTATCTCATAGCTGCCACGTGGGTTTGCGGAAGAAGAAGAAGTCAAATAAGTGTCTCGTTGACGGTCAGAGGATCGGCGGTGGTAGGAGTCGTAATAGTCGTCGCGGTGGCGGGAAGAAGACGATGAGGAATAGTGACGAGAAGGTGGAGACGATGAACGACGGTTGCGTGAGCTACTGCTGCAAATTATGGTCAGAAATGTGAATGGGGGCGCTGGAAATAATGGAATAGTGAAATAAAAAAGTTTGCGACTTTAACTTCGAGTCGGAGTCTCTTATACAGTAAAATATGATTCATGGAATCCACATGAACCTAGAGAATCTAAGATTCATAAGATCTCCATGGTCTTTTAGGATCGGAGACCTATGGTCTAGAATCCATAAGATGCATAATCCATATGATCGTTAAGATCTATAGGATTAATCGGAATCTGTAAGTAGAACCAATGATCCATAAGATCTGGGAATCCATAGGATCCTTAGTATCCGGGAATCTAAGATTCATAGGATCTTTATGACTCATGAGGTTCATAAGAATCATAGCATCTGTAGGATATATAAGATCCATAAGATATTTATGATCTATGATCCATAGGATCTATAGGATTAATAGGGTTCTGTATATAGAATCAATGATCTATAAGATCTGGGAATCCCTAGGATCCTTCTCTAGAATACAGAAGATCTCTAGGATCCATACAATCTATGAGATCAGTAAGATCCATAAGACTTATAGGATCTATCGGACCCATAGTCAATAAGATCAGTAAATCCGAAGGATCCGTTCGGGGGATCTGGAAATCTGAAAGACCTCTGGGATTCAGAACCAAAGTAAAATTACGAATTCATTAGGTTTCGAATCTACTGAATTTTTGATTTTCAATATACTCGATAGATCCAATAGTCAGTTCTTAATCTGGAATCCCAGTAGCTCAGTACTCAATACCAGATCGTGAGCATTGAGTCTGATATCTTTGAATCGCCTTATTCACAGAATCCAGGGACCCATAACTTTAAAAATTCATTTGGGGCTCTGAATTAAGGATCTTGGCCTTAGTAGGCTTCCGAATTTGCAGACCACTCTGATTCGTCTCCTCCTTTTCCAATGCCAAGAACAGACCTTCTTCATGAAGAAGGCTTCTTGATAACCCAAAAAAAACTATCTATCCAACAAACCTCTCATAGTCTCTCTCAACAGATCGTCTGTCTTCATAATCTCTCAACTGTCGTTCCTTTTCAATCATGCTCTTCTGCTTCATCGCCAACTCATACTCCCTCATCCGGATCTCTTCTTCCATCTGCATCTGTACCTTCTTCGCATTGATTCTACACAGCTCTTCCTCAATCTCCAGAAGACGTTTCTGACGGATCAGCTCTTCTTCAGAAGCTTCTAGACGAGCAGATGACGTTGAGAATTGATCATAGCTGGGTTGTTGAGGAATCGAGAAGTTTTGGGTCATGTCGACTGGTGGAGATGTAGCTGGAAAAGCCTGTCGATACTGGCTCACGTAGCCAGGCTCAGGAGCTCCGTAGAAATCAGTAGATGGTGGAGTTACAGGAACCGTCGGAGCCATTGAAGGAGCGGAAGGGGTTGAAAATGTAGGTTGAGGAGCAGCTGGAGGAGCAAAAAATGTGGAATTCGTAGGATAGGGAAATGGGGATTGTGATGTTCCATATGCAGACCCCATAGCTTGATACTGAAGTGGCATCATTTGTGAAGTGGGCGGGGCTTGCCATTGACTCATCATAGCTGGAGATAACATGTCTGGAGAAGCCTTTACCTCGAGCTTTTTCCACGGTTTTTGAGATTCGATCCTGGAAAAAATGAATTGCTTAAAATGTGAATAGGCTGAAGAGAAATGACTAATAGTAAGGAAAGTTTGACCCAGACCCTTCAGGAGGCGTTCTCGGTCAAAACCCTAAAATTAAGGGATTACGGTGTCTGCAACAACTTGGATTACAGGAGAAGGAGGAGGCGGGGGCCGCCAAACCATCCAAGAAAGCATAGATCAGCGATATTCTGTTTTTCGGAATTTCGAAAGTTTTGGAAAAGAGCGGAAACTATTTGACCCCGAGTTAATTATGCCTATTTGGGATTAACGATAAGTAGTATAATTAGAAGATTATGACGATCCGAGATTGGTGTGGATCAGATCTTTTTAGAAATTATAGAAAACATTTTGAATTCTGGCTGAAAAATTCCATTTATCCGGCTAAAATTTTCGGCCGTTTTCTGAGCTGAAAATGCATTTAAAAATGTCCAAATTTCATTTTTTTTAAATGATTTTCGAGATTCAAATTTCAAATCAAAGCTTTTCAGTTCAATTTTTAGAAACTTTTCAGGCCTGAATTTCCTCAGTTTTGACTGAAGAAACTCACCAATCATCCTTCAAAAACTGATATTCCATTGGTGTCAACGAATCTCCGTAGGAATTCCCCATTTCTTGAATTCGTTGATAATCTTTATCATCATTATCACTTTCATAACTTTTATCCATCAATTTTGCAATTTTCGGTTCCACTGATTTTTCCTCGTTTTTCACAGCGTTTTCAGTAGATTTCTTCTCTATCTTCTCCACGGCTTCTTTCATTTTTTGAATCAATATGCTCGAAAATTCTCCATTTTTCGTATTCCTCATCATAAAAGGTTTGTTGAGAAGCCAAATGAGACGATGCCGAAAGAGATGCTTTTTCTTCTGTCTGTCGGTGGCATTTGGGTCGAGAAGCTGGAAAATAACCGTTTTAAAAAGATTTCAAGGTCGAAAATTCACTTTATTAGAATTCAACCATAATTCTAAAGCCTTTTTCTCGTATGCTGTCAATTTCTCGCCCTCCCTCTTCGCAAACGTTCCATTATCACTTTTCGGCATTCCAGTCGAGGTTTTTCTGAAAAAAAAACTACTTCAAATTATTGTTTTCAATTTTTACCTTACAATGTAATAATATTATCCAACACTGGATCTGACTTTTCCTTTTGTTGCTTTACTACTTTCTTAGGTATACTCGCCGCGGCTTTGATTTTCGATGCTCGTTTCGGTGGTTTTTGCTGATTTTGGACCGGATTTTTTTGAGCATTTGCTGCTGGTGGCACCCCAATTACAGGTATCATCTGCAAAACACACTATTTCCAGTCATTTTTTTCTAATCTTCCATGTTTTTATTTCAGAAAATTTGATTATAACCAGTCACCTGTGACATCTTCTAGTATTTAGATGTTTATATAGTTTAAATAATGACGAAATATATCCAAGAATTCTAGAATCTAGATGAAAACTCGCGAGTTTCAGAGATTTTTGTTGTTCTCGGCTGAGGCAACACACCAGATTTCACGACAGTTCTGCAAACACCGTACCGGCAGAACGCACACTTTTTGACGTGGCAAATGATATTTTTTTGATGAATTTTCAGTTTTCTAGGAAGTTTCAGAGAGAATTAGCTGCAATTTCGAAAAAGAAAAACAAGTAAAATTGAGATACAACGAGTTTATATAAATGACATGAGTATTTTCTTCAGCAGAGAGATCAACATTGTGACAAGTATCAAATTTAAACAAATATAAAATGGTTAGAGGTAAAAACCTAGAAAATGATAAAATAAATTTATCAATAAATTAAAATTTCGCCATCAAACTGATCCTCCTCCATGTATCTGGTCTCCAGGAATGCCTTCGCCAGCTTAATAGCATCATCGGATGGATCCGACATAGCCATTCGCAAACGACGATCTCGGAATTGCATTTCTTGAGTCTGAGTTGTGGCGGCATCGAGCAGATGAGACGCGATCTTATTTCTACGACAGAATGGGTCCACATATATACGATCAACTCCAACGATCCAATCAGTTCTATCATAGCCGGCTCCAACTTCTCTTTGTGACTGATTTGTCCACGCATTCGCAATCTTTTCAACAATTAGAATTCCTCCGATCCTCATTCTCCTATCATTTCTGGCTAGAGCAATGAAAATTCGCTTGTCGCCCTCCCATATATCATCATCAGCATCCTTGCCCACATAACCTAGAAGGTTGTTGACATTTTTGATGTGCTTATTCATCAGTTTCTTAAATGGTTCTTCAGCCTTCTCTCGTTCCAGATAATACACTCGGAGCACTTCGTTCATATCTCGATGGGGAAATTGACTGAAAATGTTCCAGGTTTTTTGGCTTATTTTCAGACCACAACTTACAGTATTTGGAAGGAGAATTCCCGTGGAATCTCGAATAGGAATCGCATCGCTTCGTGGTATTTATCATGCATTGCGACGTCGGCAGCATCATCGACACAGTACACCATATTGCACTGAAAAATCAGATTTTGCAGAATTTCCCCTAGGCTAGAATCTAGCCTACATACAATATCACAGGTGATATTTCCAATTTTCTTCTGCCCAGCATCCAACACTCGCTGTCCTTTTGCCTGTTTTTTAATCGCATCTCCGCGTTTTCGAGGTGTTTCTGTAAACAATTTTTTTTCTTGCAAATTCATATCATCTTTTTTTTGCCGCTCACTTTTCTCTGGTTCATCCTTATCGTCTATGATCACTTTCCTCTTTGGACATTTCAGGTTTTGCACGTCCGCAAAGTCGTTCGATGTGCTTTGTTCTGTAAATACAAAAGTATGAATTGAAAACCTGGTTTTTTCGGTTTTTTTTACTTTGATTTTCCTCTTCTTCGACATTTTCTGGCTGCGGCTTTGGCGACTTTTGGAAATAGTCAGCGATTGTGATCTTTCTAGGCTTTTCCTTTTCTCTAACCATTTCTGCAAACAAGAAATTTCGAAGAAAACTTAAAGATAAACGAGTGAAACATGCGAAGAATGTATTTTAAAGGTTCCGCGCTTCTTATTGCAAACCCATGCGGCGCCATTGCGAAGTCCCGCGCCGCGCGTTGCAAAACACAGACTCCGCCTATTTTAAAGAACACTCGATATATTGAATTAATAGATTTTCAGCGTTTTCAATGATTTCTGGCTGAAATTTTTTGATTATTATTGAATAATCATGTAGAGAATTTCATGGCGATCATAATAAGTGGTAAAACTTATGAATTTCAAGAGATATTTCGTCAGCTAGTGACCTTTAAAGACATGACTCATAGTGATACGTCTAATATTACGATGTTTTATATAAAACTAGGTTTGATGTTTGCATGAGAATGTATTTTTACTATTGTCGCCTTTTGAAAAAAAAAACAATTTAATTAATTAATCAATTATTTCTCAGGTTCAAAACCAACAGAAATGATAGAAAATCGGCAAAAACTTGTCGATTTCCTCCAGTCTTGTGATTTATCAGAAGAAAAAGTGCGAAAAATCGAAGAGTGAGAATTCAAAATTCAAAATTCCCATCAATTATTCGTTACATTTTTTCAGTTTCATCGGAGAAAACTACATAGACAAACCAAAACGGAAACCACTATTCTCAGTGGGAGAGGAGGATTCAGAAGACCTCACAGAAGAAGATTCAGAATCTCCCCGAATCACTGAAAAATGTGAAACCGGCATTCAGTGTAAACGAGATTCGGAGACAGTGGAGATGGAAGCTGGAAATCGAAGTTTAGACGAAATTACCAAGGATTGGAAAGAATGTATGTTCTTAAAAAATCATTAAAAGTTGATTATCTTAATTTTCAGGCAAAACCGTCTCTCCTGGAGAATCACTCCGGTTGCTGAAACGTGGAACTGCAAAATCGCGAGAGCTAGAATCCAGATTTCCAGCTGAACAGGCGATTCCTATTAGACGAACGTTTATTAATAAAAAGTTGGATAAATTGCCATATTTGAATTATGATTACAGTTTGGTGAGTTTCTAAAAAAAGTTTATAAAAATTAAAAAAAAATCCTTTCAGGCCGCCGAATCCTGCTGTGAGAACATTGTAGGGTACACCCCAGTACCAGTTGGCGTGGCCGGTCCTCTATCCATCAATGGATCAACAGACATCTATGTACCAATGGCAACTACAGAAGGAGCACTGATTGCATCCACGAATCGAGGCATGAATGTGATACGAGAGGCTGGAGGCGTTGAGACGTCTGTTGTGAATTCAGGAATGACAAGAGCGCCAGTTGTGAAATTTCCAAGAGCTAGAGATGCAGTGTAAGGATTTTTTAGAGTTTTCAAATTTCTGAAATAACCTATAACATGTCTGGAGGAGTCCAAAATGGACCTTAAGTTGGACAATGTTTGTTAATAATATTCTTTCAGTGATCTCAAGCTATGGATCGAGGACCCAATCAACCAGAATTTGGTTCGACAGGAATTTCAATCGTGTAGCAGATTTGCAAGACTGAAATCCATCGATGTGACTATAGATGGAAATCTTGCATATCTGAGATTCGATGCGCACACTGGAGATGCGATGGGAATGAATATGATTTCAAAGTAAGATTTTTCAAAATTAGCTCAATATGACATTGTTCCATTGTTCAGAAGCTGCGACCTAACGATGCGTTTTCTCCTTGAAAGATTCCCCGAAATGCAAGTTCTTGCTCTTTCTGGAAACCTCTGTGTCGATAAAAAGGCGGCCGCCAAGAATTTCACAGAAGGACGAGGACGATCAGTTGTGGCAGAGTGTCTTATCAAACGAGATACAGTAATAAAGACCCTCCGAACGACTCCAGAAGCGTTGGCTTATTTGACGACAACAAAATTGCATATTGGATCGGCGAGAGCTGGAACAATCGGAGGATCGAATGCGCATGCTGCGAATATTGTCGCCGCTATTTTTATAGCAACTGGACAGGATGCGGCGCAGGTAAATATCAGGACTAGAAATTGAAAATCTGGGCTGAGAATGGTCTTTAAATGTTTCGATTATCTCAAAATATGTAGATTCATGTAGAAACAAAGAAAACTTTTAAAAAAATCGCTTCTCGTCCATTTCGGGAAACTTCTGGAATGTTCTCGAATTTTTTTTTGAATACCCTCCAAAACTGTAAACTCTGAAAATTATAGTGTTTTTTCGAGAGAAAAATTGTCGTTGAATTCTATTTTTTCGCAAAATTTTTAGACCTTTTTAGGATTTTCAGCTATATTTTCAAACGTTCTTTCTTGATTTTTCCGGGGTTTTTTTCTGTCTGAAATTTGATGGAACGGCGTTCGTGAAGATTACTGTAGATTACTGTAGAAAACCTATTTTCCATTTTGTAGTTGTTTTTTTTGCAATTACAATCACGTCAAAATGCAGACAAAAATCAGTGAAAAAAACCACAAAACAGAAAATAGGTTTTTTACAGTAATCTACAGTAATCTTCCCAAAAACCGTTCCATCAAATTTCAGACAAAAAACCTGGAAAAATCGAAAAAGAATCTTTGAAAATGGCTAGAAACCCTAAAAAGGTCTAAAATTTCACCGAAATATCGAAGAAAACGGGATATTTCTCTCTCGGAAAATCGCAAAATATTGAAAGCAGAAAAAAGAACATATCAAAATCTATTTTTGTTTCAGGTAGTGTCATCAGCAATGTGCTCTACACGAATGGAAGTAACTGATGAGAAGGATCTCTATGTTTCGTGTACACTTCCATGTGTTGAAGTGGGTACTGTAGGTGGTGGAACTATCCTCTCACCTCAACGAGCCTGTCTGGAGTGTCTCGAATGCGCTGGACCGAATCATGAGCGACCGGGAGGCAATGCCGAACGGTTGGCTGAAATTATAGCAGCGACCGTGTTGGCTGGAGAGCTCTCGTTGATGGCTGCATTGACAACAAATGACCTGGTTTCGAGTCATATGAAGTTGAATAGGTAGGTCATTCATAGAAATGGTTTAATCGAAAACAAGAAAATTCGAAATTCCCGCTTTCAGATCCAAACAACAACTCTATTCGGACGATTCTGGAAAGCCCACACGATTACAAAGAGACTTCGAGAAGGCTAGAAACCTGTTGCCGAATTCCAATGGGAACATCAAACTGAAAAAGAAGATACCGCCAAGTGTTAATGTTCAGTGCTCCAGTATTCTGTAGTTGTTCTTCGAAATCATTTTTCCCCAAATCCTGCCCCCAATTTTCGTTTATGTGTATTTTGTTTATTAGGGTTGTTACCGTTATATCTGCTTGTTGTTTTTTCCCCTCAAATGCGCTTCAGCGCATTTCCCCTGGTATGTCATAATGACATCTTTTCCTAGGTTCCCCGTAAAATTTCAAATAGTTTGGATAGGTACTGCTTTCGTGTAGAGATAAGACATTTATAATTATTATCAATAGAGCGAGTTTGACATTGAAAAAAAAAACGAGGAAAATTAAAATTTCAGAACAGAATCGTTATTTTTCAAATACATCTCGATGGGATACATGGCTGGCAACACTTGAACCGTCTTCTTCGGACGGAGTCGACGATCGAATGGATTGATTTCAATGTAACGGGACACCAGGACGAAGACGCCGTTCTCGGAACAAAACTCCACACGTTCACACAATCGATATGTGACGATTTGATTGATTGGGATGGCTGAAATTCAATACTAATAAATTTCTAATTTTTTAAAAATCTTACATTTCGTCTTATCGATAACTATTTCCATCAGATTCCATTGCTCATTTGACAACTCGTTTATCGGAAAATTCTGCTGTAGACTTCTCAAAAGTTTTAGAGATTCAGAATCTTGGAAGTTCTGAAATTCTTTTTTTTTTCATAAAATCATATATAATTGATTTTTTCAAAAAATAGCTTTTCTCACTTCACTTCTGGAAAGTTGGGTGTATTCTGGAGACGCCATTTTTGAAGAAGACAATATTTTTAAAGACTTCTTTTGATATTTGCCACGTGTCAAAGCGCGGCGCCACGAGCACTGAGAGGAACTCAGATGCCACGTAGCTAGGTCACAAAGGCTCTAATCTGAAGAGAAAGAGCCGGAGATTCGTCGTTTTAAAAGCCACATCCTTCATGATTTCGATTCTCCATTCTTTTTAAACTGTTTGTTAAGTAGATTTTCGCAAAAAAAAAATCATAAAAATCAGCGGGTTACTGTAATATTTTAATTTTCTTTGATTTTCGTGATATTTCTGCCTATTTTTCTCGATTTTTAGCTACTATTCCTTTCGTTTTGTTCTCGTCTCGAATTATCATGCCTTTTTCTCGTAAAATGTGCATAAGGCATATGTATTTGCGAGTTTAAGCCCGAAATTCACTGTGAAGACGTAGCCATCGAAAAATCCCATTTTTATATGTTAATGCTTTCTAACGTTGCCGCATAAGCTTGTGTAGATATTCTTGCAGAATCGTTATCCATACTTATTAGTTAATTTGAGAGATTTTCAAAATTATTTTTTCTGAGTCTGCGTTATTTTTTCAAAATTACCTTTCGTGTCGAAACTAAATTGACAATTCTGCAGTGTGCGCCTTTAAATTCAGATTCTGAGAGATACTGTAATATTTTTATTTTCACCGGATTTTCGTTAAGTTTCTGGCATTTTTTCTCGAATTTTGGCTATGATTCTTTTCGTTCTGTTCTATTTTTTTTCGAATTTACATAATTTCCCTACTTAAATTGTGCATTACAGGACAAGATTCGCGAAGTGAACCTCGAAATTCGCTGCTTCGATACCGGCGACAAATAATCCTCTGAATTTTTGCTTGTGTTCCATTTGAAGCTTATTTATATTTTTCGAAAATTTCATCCTTTTTAATCACTCTATCTAGAATATTTTCAGGCAATTTCAAGAAAATCCTCGTTATTTTATATATATATTTTTAAAGTTGCCCTTCGTGTCGAGACTCTATTGACAATTCTGTTGTGTGCGCCTTTAAATTTAGATTTTCAGGGATACTGTAATATTATTATTTTTTCTGGAGTTTAGTGATAATTCTGCCGATTTTCAGCTATTATTTCTTCCTTTCTGTTTTTATCTTGAATGCTAAAAATTGTTCTTCTCAAATTATGAATTACAGAACGAGATTCGTGAAGTGAACCCCGAGTATTGCTGTTTCGAGACCGACATCGAAATCGACAATTATCACCATCATTTTTGCTTATATTTCGCTTGAAGCTTCTGTTTGTATATTTTTTCGAGTGTTTCATTATTTTAATCACTTTGTTCAGAAGATTTTCAGACAATTCGAGAAAATCGCTGTTGATTTTTAAAATTTCTTTTCGTGTCGAGACTTAATTGACAATTCTGTGGTGTGCGCCTTTAAATGATTGTTTTGGAAGGCTACTGTAATATATTTTTTGCTGATTTTCAGACGATTTCGTCGAGATTTTTCGTATTTTTTCGCCTGAAAATTGAAACTTTTAATTAAAAAAAAACAATTTACGATATCAGACATGCCGGATACAAAAAAATTCACCTTGTTTTTCTATTGATTTCTTTTGCTCTACTAGTTTTTGACCAACCATTCTATTAATTATGTACCGCGAAAAAAATGTTTTCTGCGGGAATTTTGAGAGATTGCGGGAGATTTCGGCCAATTAACTCTCTTCCAACCCATTTGTCGTCATTCTTCTCAACAGGCGACCTGGTGAACAGTCGTATCGTTTCTTCTCTTTGATTTCGTTTGATTTTCTCTATTTTCCTGCAGATTTTTCTGTGATTTTGCACATTTTTGTGTCCATTTCTCGTGCTTTCTTGTGATCTTTTCCCCTCTTTTTCGATAATTTCAGTCACATCAAATAATTTGTTTTCCAGAATCAAGCCAGGCGCCGATATCGAGGAGTCCGGAAACGAAAGGACAGTGTTTTGCGGAGAGTGCAGGAAGAAACGAATAGAATTTGTGTAGAGCAAGTTTTTTCAGCAGTTTGCGCTTCGTTTCGATTTATTTTCGAAAATTCGGATAATCGATGGTTGGAGACGGAAGAAGAAGTCTGCAGACGAGGGAAAGGAGATGTGACAAATGCCGAAAAATTGATATCGAGTTGCTGAGAAGACGCCAGGAAGATCCACGTGGCGGAAGGATTCGAATGAAATAGATGGTCTTGTAGATGGAAAGGTGCTTCGATTGGGAACGAATCGATAAAAATCAATATTTCTGAAATTCGATCAATGTGGATGTCCATTGGATGATGAAACGAATAATCATTATTCTATGTGAGCACTCCCATAAAGAATCCATTTATTGGTAAGTTTTCTAGCTGTTTTTCTTGTTTTTAAATGAGTATTTCCAGGCGATTGGGAAGCTGAAGAAGACGACGTGGAGTGGTGATCACTCAAGAATGAAGAGTTCGTGATCATGGATTATTGTTTGAATTCGATGGATGCTCGAGAATAGAAGAGGGATCTAGAAGGATATGACAATAAGTGGATGTGTTGATGAGTATCGTGTGCTGCGTGTTTTTATTTCTGAAAGTTGGGATCTAGAAATGAGATTAGAAAATTGTGAAATAAGCGGAAACTTTTGAAACATTTCATTTCATATTTTTGACTTATATTTTTAGAGATTGCCATTGATAATCTTAACTGGGAGAAACTGAATCTAGAGCTTCATTTTTTGAAATTGATTTCTCGAAAAACTAGTGAATTCTTTGGGAAGATCATTCGCTCATGACACGGGCACTGCGACATAGATCCCGTATCTGACAGAAGAACTGTCATGAGCGGTGAATCCCATTTTATTCACTTGTTTTTACCTTTTTAAACCTAGATTCAGTTTCTTTCTGAGATATTATTGAAGTGAGGTTGAGATGAAACTAGATTTTGAGTCTCGAAATTCAACTTTAGAAAATGGGACTGAATCTAGAAAAGTCGATATTGTAACTTGTTTCTCGAAAAAACAGTGGAATAAGGATGGGAAGAGCCGAAGTGCACAGTCCTGGCTGTTGTGCTCCGTGTCCTGGACTCTGCCACATAGGCCCCTGGCCGGACGGAAGAATAGTCACGTCAGGTTCTTCCCCTTGTTTCCGTTGTTGAAAAATATGAAATCTGGGTTCAGTTTCTCTATAGAATAGTATTAGAATTTAAGGTGGTGCGTGGTGAAAAATTTTATTGCTTTATTTTGTGCAGAATTCCATGTAGATCCCCATAAAAAAACGAAAAAATTCAAAAAAATTCCTTCATTGAGAAAAACGGCATCGAAAAATCAAAGTGGGAACCGGTGGCCTATCGGCCAGGTGTGAGTTTTCTAGGCCAACTTCCGGTAAAAGCGCGCGAAATTCGAATTTTTATTGATTTTCAGTGTTTTCTCATATTTTTGTCACGTTTTTTTCATACACCTAGGAGGAAATTAACAAAAACATTTTGAAATCTAAAAGACATCTGAGAAAACACTGAAAATCAATAAAAATTCGAATTTCGCGCGCTTTTACCGGAAGTTGGCCTAGAAAACTCACACCTGGCCGCTAGGCCACCGGTTCCCACTTTGACTTTTCGATGCTGTTTTTCTCAATGAAGGAATTTTTTTGAATTTTTTCGTTTTTTATGGGGATCTACATGGAATTCTGCACAAAATAAAGCAATAAAATTTTTCACCGCACACCACCTTAAATTCTAATACTATTCTATGGAGAAACTATTTTTTAAAATTTGTATTTTATAATTTTTTAAAATTGGACTTGATAAGAAAAAAGTTGAAATTTGAATTTAAGATTAGTTAATACGGGTACGGGTCCCAGCTTTTCAGAATCTTTAGGATATTTTTCAGAAATATTTTACTTTTTTCTTTGATGGTACCGTAGTTTCGCGAGCCACCTAATAAAGATTTCCATTCGGCGAGCGACTACGGTACTAATTTCAGATGTGTTATACTACATTCTAAATAGTTTAGCACACCGACATTGAAGAATCTAGTTGGAATTTCGGCGGCTCTCGCCCGAAATATAGGTAGGTTCATTGAGAGTAATAAAGAAACAGATAGATTATATTTTGGGAGAGAGCCTGGTTCCTCCTCTCGTCGTCTCTCTATCTTCGACTTATATTCTTCTGGGACTGCCCAAGAACTCCTGAAACTCCAAAATGTACCTAAAATCATTCATATGTTGTTGTAAATTCTATGTAGTCGTTGAAATGTGTACAAAGGTACCGTAGTCGCTCGCCGATTTGAATCTTTATTATTTAGCATGCGNANCTCCGGTACCAAAAAAGAATATTTACACTTTACAGTTTTTTTTGGGTTAATAAAGGTACTTACTACTTGGGAAGATAGAATAAGGAACTAAATCTAGATCTCGAAATTTGGAATTAGAAAATGAGATTTTGAGTTTCCTTCTATAGACATTTCTTAAAGGTGGGGGGACATGAAAAAATAATGTTCTCGAAATATCGTTTAAATATGCCTCTCGAGGAGTTGAACGTGTGGGACGAGGATTGAGGGTGCGGCGCCGCTACCGACTGAGCTACACGGGCAAAGAGAAAGCGGTCGCCTCTTCCTTATCTAGCTTCTAGTTTCTCGACTTTCTTTAATGATAAATTTTCTAGATTCAGTCTCTCCCGTCTGAGCTAGCTTTTGAGGTAGGTACGGTCTAGAACTGAATTTGAATTTATTCTTTATCACTTATTTCTAATACTTAAGACTAAAGTTGCAACTTTCCTACACTTTTAAAAGATCTTAATCTAGATGTTAAAACGTCCTTGTAGTTTCATGAGAAGAACCCGATATCCACCTCCTCTGAAACGCCGTCAATCCGAAGATCAACAGAGTAGCGCCACCTTCAATCGCATTCGAGCCAATGCTGACAGGTGAAACACCTCAACCAGCATCCTTCCGAACAATCGGACAATACGCCGATGAAACACCCGATCGCTCTTCTCATGAAACCAAGTGTCTTTCGAGAAATTGAAATTCAAAAAATGAATCTAGAAAAGTCCGAGGAACTCTTTCTAATCTGGTTTCCAAAAGTTTTCTCGATTTTCTAAAATTAGGAACAATCTAGATTCAGTTCCTCCCAGTTAAGATCAAGTATCTCCTAATAATAAATCTTTCAAAAACTACATCTCATTCTACACTCAATCTCATCTTCAAAACCTAATCTCCAGGAAAATACTTCATCATTTGTTGTCTTTCCGATCTCTCTCCGAGCATCCATCGAATCCTACGAATCCTCCGTGATCCCGAACTGTCCGTCCTTTTGCCTCTTTGTCGACGACGTCGCCTTCTGCATCCCAAGTGCCTGGAAATTCTAATTTAAAAACATGAAAAGCAGCTAGAAAACTCACCAATTAACAGATTTATTTTACGATCCTTCAATCTTCACATACTTCTTGTCAACTTTTGACTCATATCCATATTGTTGCTCCAAAAGCAGAAAAATTGTTTTTTTATCGATTGGAGCCAAATTGAAGACTTCCTCTATCTCCTAGCCATTCAGACGCCGGTCACTATGCACTCCAGAATCTTCTCGCCACGTGGATCCTCCTCTTGCTGTCTCCTCCTTTTGATGACGTCTTATCATTCGATATCGACTTTTGTCACATATTGAATTGTCGATAATCCCATCCGGCATACTGTCCCTATCTGCTGGCCACTTCCGTCGCCCCGGTCCCACTCGATCCCTGGATTATCGATTTTCCAAATTTCTGAAAACAAATCAAAAACAAAGCGCAAACTGGAGCTAAAAACTTGCTCTACACAAATTCGATTCGACTCCTTTCTCCCTGCCCTCTCCATAGAACATTGTCCTTCCAGATTATTCGATTTCGGTGTCCCTGCTTCTGGAAAGAACAAATGATTGAAATTGATTGAAATTATTACAAAAATACAGAAACATGAGAAATCGAAGCGACACCTGAAGAAAATTCGGGAAAATCAAGCGAAATCGAAGAGAAAAACTAATACGACCGTTCACCAGGTCGCCACTTGGGTTCAAGCGAGGGGGTCAGAAAGAGCGCCCCAGTAAATTTAGGAAAAATTCTAAATTCGCTGCCGAATTTCGTTGGCTGAGTTTCACAGTTTTAAATGAAGAGCGAAAAAGCGCGCCTTGCAACCAGTTGATTTTGAAGAAATAGATCATGATCTAGATAAAACCCGCGTCCAATTTAAAAT